AAATACTTACCGGTATTAGGTCCTGGTGAGAACAAAATTTAATGAATAAAAATATTAATCTTAATTGTTCATGTATTAATTTTCCTTGCCAGGCGCGTAGCATCGTTTTTGAAAGTGGGGGGGCCAGCCAGAGAAAATTTATTTTAACTTACCTGAAAAAAGTTGACAGGCCAAAAAAAAAAAGAAAAAAAAAGGAAAGTTGCCCAAAGTCGAAAATCCTATTTCGGGGGGGGGGGGGGGGGGGGGGGGGGGGGGGAGGTGTGTAAACTTTTGGCTTATCATTAACATTTCCTATAGCATAATTAAGGTTGGGGAAAAAACGTGGGGGGGGGGGCGGCTGCCCCCCCCCTCCCCGTTGCTACGCCCCTACTTGCAATTTTACAAACCCTTTTAAGAAACTTGTTAAGTATAGACAAAAGCAACCTTCAATTAATACCTATGATGTTTACATTCATTTTACTGAAAACAACTTCAAAGATGGACAAACAAAGCATGCACTGCAACCATCACAGACTCATTTTTTTCTAAATATACGGAAAACAGCACGTATATACTAGATAGGATGTTGTAAAAACATTAAATTTTCTACGATAATCTATAGACATATAAAAATATGCATTGGGTATAACAAGTCAGAAGTCTTCTCCAAATCTCCATTGATATCGCCATATCTGGTTCAACACCTTAGCTTGATCTATCCAACTTTCTTTAATATTCTTGAGCTGATATAGGATGACCTCTACTTTGATTGATGGCACAAATCTCTTAAGGAAACACTGAAGTACTTTTTTTTGGTTCTTATCTATTCCAATTAATGACCCATAATCTGAAATCATATGTGTTCATTTTTACAATAACATTTAAGGAAGGAGAAAACTCAACGAAATGAATAGATTTCCAAATTTATAATAATATAAATTCATAAATATAATAATATTTATAATTAATAAATTTCCAATATAATCAATGAAGAATCAATATTAAACTATTTTAAAATTTACATTGAATTAGTTAAATGCAAATGCTTGATAAAGAATGTTCTTGTCATGCACATTCTGTTTCTCTTTTTTATTAATTAGAAAATGAGATATTAATAAAAATCAAACTTCATTTACAGAAGGTAACTTGAACAGTTGAATGCATGTTCCAATGTTACAAATTTTAGGCCTAAAAATTTCTTGAATGACTGCATTTTTTTGGGCAATTAGTCACATCCTGACACCCTCGTACCGTTTATTCATCGTTTTCAAATCCGTAGTCAGTAGATCATTCATAACGTTCAGTAAAATGAAAATGAATAGTTAAATAATTACCTGATGAATCTACTATCAACAATCAAACTGTCAGTGTCAACATGATCATTGGGCATGGTCAAATGCACCGTGACTTTTCTTCCCTGTTCGGACTGCATATAGCGTTTCACTTTACAGGATACTCTCAGGTCTTTTCTTTTTTCTTTCCCATTGTCACTTAAACTTTTAGTGTAGTGGTGAAGCAAGAAACACACAATGCGTCAATGACTTTCTTCTGACTGGAATGACCGTGCAACTTGTCACGTTCCGTATCGAAAATAAACAAGTCCTCCTTTATTGGTTAATCCACCATGCATCACGCTAATTTCAAAGGCTTCTAAGATTCCTATCTTTGAATTGTTATAAGATTTTCTCCTGAAAATGTCCTTTGTTTTTAGTCCTAACAGTAAGTGACAACAAACATCAAGTATGACAGAGGAAATTCGTTACCGAGTGAATGCTTAGCATCGCTGGTTTAAATCCGCCTGTTTCAAACGCTTTGGTGATTCGTAAGAGATATCTCCCTGTAAACGCAAACCTTACCTTAAATTTACTAATGAATAATATACTCGTTATTAGCTCACCTAAGCTAAAAGCGAGATTATCTTTACCACCTGTTGTCCGTCGTCCGTTTCTGTAAACTTTTCACGTTTTCAACTTCTCAAGAATCACTTGGCCAATCTAAACCAAACTTGGTACAAAGCATCCTTGGGTGATAGGTTTAAATTGTTAAAATTAAGGGTCAAGTCTCCTTACAAGGAGATAATGAAGAAAAGACAGAAATAGGGTGGGGTCATTAAAAATCTTCTGAAGAAACACTGGGCCAGAAAGGCCAAAACTTTTGTGGAAGCATCCTGGGGTAGTATAGATTCTAAATTATTGAAATCATGACCCATGGGGTTAGGACGGGGCCATAGTAGCGAATCCAAGTATGTATTGTTGGGTTTTTTTTCAAGGTCAATTCGATGATTCAGACACCTGAGGAGTACAACAATCACTGAGTCCGAAAGGCAAAGTGAATATTGTACTTCGAAGGTGGCTTAATCTTCGTATTCACCTAAACAACACCAGCAGTAACTGTTTTTATGAATAAATGCTGGCAAACTCCTGCTATTTTTTGCTTTATTTGAAGTTTTCACAAAAAACACATTGTAGCAAGAAAAGTGGAACAGGAATAGTACATTATATTGACCTGCAATAATTCCTTCTATTGACCTGAAAGGTCACGTGCAGGTCAATATAACGTAGTATTCTAACATTGTTGGATCACATCCAATCAGAGAGAGGGAAATTATTCAATCATATAATAATACAATTTACTATGATAATATTTATAACTTTTATTGGGCATGCATGTCTATGTAAAAAAACAAGATGTGATTGTGCAACAATAGTGCCCCCAAATGGCAGCTTTCGCAACGGTTGAATTTTATCAAATGCACGTCAAACTCAAAAGGTCAGGGTATGTTATCAAATTTAAATCAGAGATTTACAATTTCTACATTTTTTATTTGGAAACTTGTTAAACATACTGAATTGACAGTTGACCCTTTGTTTTTGTTTTTTCAAGGTTGACGCAGATGAGGTCCTTGCTGCTAAAGGAATAGTAGCGGCAGATGAAGACCCTTTCAAGGTTATTGGACGCCATCTTGGATTGGGGGCATCACGCGACATCGTAGCTAACGTAAACAATAGCAGCTGATGCAGATGCACCGCATCAATTTTCGTCTAGCGATCGCTTCACAGTCATTGTCATTTAGAATTGAACGTATGCATATCGTAAGCAACATATTTTATTTTAAAAAAGATCATTTTCTTTAATAATTGCTGTTTATTTACCTTAAATGAACTGCATATATATTACAACGTGCAATCATGATCATGTAAAAAGTGCGAGATGGAGTGCTTATGTTACGTTACTATCTATCCTCTTGTAACAGTTTAAGCATGAAATATTTGTGGAAATAAAAACAGAAGAAGGTTTAAGAATCACTCATTTAAATTTTATCTTTTACTTGGATTTTTTTTTTTTCAATTTAATTTCTTTTATATCTATACTACCAGGGGCCTAGGTCCCTGATACTACTAACGTGGGCGGATCCAACAGAGAATATTGAGAAGTACTGAATGAATAAAAGCTCATAAAAATATCTGTAAATAGACATATAGACCAACATACTTAAAAAATAATATTCTTTTTTTTTAGACAACTTTCAATAGGTTTTAATTAATTAAATTCAAAAATAAAAATAAGATAAAAATATTAAGTATGTGTTAAATAACACAATGATTTAAAAATATGTTGCATGCATGTGTATACCAATGTCAAAATATTGCAACTTCAAAGTAAATAATTATACAAATTTATTTAAACAGTAATTTTTAAAAAATAATTTTAATCATAATTAAAAAATTGTCTGTGTCACATGTGTAAAATTCTGCTTAGCTTTAAAATTATTTAAGTAAGGATTTCAATGCTTTTACAATTTTTAGGACTTTTAAAGCTATACAAGATTTAGACTGTGTAATGGCATTAATAGTACTTCAACAGTTATTAGCTTCTGACTAGTGATGCAAAGTCTCTGGTTCAATACCTGGTGATCTTTTGATTTAAATTTCATCATAAACTTTTATTAAAATACAAAAAAATGTTAGTTTACCACAATCAAGATGATACAAGAATCCAAATACATGTACACATGTATTGAAGACCTTTCCTTTGTTTAGTACTTCATTTTGTTGATATGATATTTCATCCATCACTTGTGTATATTTTTGTAACAATACAATCCGACTTTTTTTTCTAATTCATGCACATCTAACAAGAAGTCTGTGAGCCAATGCTCACTATTTATACCCCTGCTCTGATGTGAATAAACACTATTATATTAATAAACTCATGCAAGTACAGTTACAGCCTTACAGGCAGATGCACGGATAAATAGGAAGTTGACATCCGATTCATACAAAATGGAAATCCCACCAAATTGCATGCCTCAGCAAAGAATGTGCTTAACATTCAAGCATCTTTGATGAGTAGTTGCTGAGAAAACTGAAATCATAAATTTGTTTTGGACAGACAGACTGACTGAGTGACACACAAGTAAAACGGTCATCGGTGTTCCTCCTCTCTTTCGGATGGGGTATAAAAATAGAATTTATACATCTTTATATGTTTATTTTCATTAATTATATATAAATGGTATTCGAAATCTCAGTGATTCTCCAGCTGCGGAAATATATAATTCAATGGAGAGAAAGATCACAGAAGTACTGTAGACCAAATATCTGGCTCATATTCCTCATGAAAAATTTAAGCAGGTATCCTCTTGTTTCATATTAAGCATATTCATCTTAAATATACAGTCAAACTATCTTCAAGTTTTTGATTAAAGAAAAAAAATATCAAGAAAATTAATACTGTACAGTATCTTCATCAATCAGTCCGACAATAAGTGAAAAATTTGCTTTCAGCGGAAAACAAGGAATTCCTATATTTCCTCTCTGTATGATCATTGTACAACAATCCCCTAATCTCCCCTCCCCTAAAAAACTGTATGTTTGAAAACAAAAATTACAAATTTAGTGAAATTAGATTCTTTGATTCACTCGTTACCGTAATGGATCACTGTATAATGTTAAGAAATGAAGCAAACATGAAAGAAACCATGTATGTGTACAGTAAAACTCGTTTAGTTGGAACACGGATATTGCGAATTCACGGATAAAGCGAAGTTATCTTGGATCCCAAAGTACACAAATTTAACAAATTCTTTATACGGAAAGAACAAATAATGGTTAAAGTAAAGTAATTTTCCGGGTCCCAGTGACTTCGTTATAGCCGAGTTTTACTGTATGTGGATTGGAGTGTTACTTTGTACCTCTCAGTAATAAAATCCAATGGATACAATACTATAGTATATACCGGTGCACATCACACAATACAAAAATCTTATCTATACAGTTGCCTTGTCCCCCAAATTATTAATATGAACATTGTTTTTGCTTGTCAAAACATTACTTTTAAGTTGAACCCCCCTTCCTTCATCACCCTGAAATTTCTTCAACAGACCTGCAGCTAGATCTAAGGAGCTTAATTTTAAAATGTGCTGGGTAAATCACATTCCTATATAGCACATGACATCCCAAGGATCAAGTGCTAAAGAGAGTTCAAGTATTCTCAATTGAAAACAATTTTACATACATGTACAAATTTATTATTTATCATGATTATTACATGTATTTTTTCAAGCTGTAATAAAAATACAAGTTTTAATATCATGTGAAATGTTTTTTTTTTCCTTTTATTAATAGCTCTTATTGTAACAACTTTGAAAGAAAACATGCATTTGATTTTTCTGCAAACATCTTGGTCAAATTGGTAACATCAAAATATCCATGGCAAATGTTAATCTTTGATATTTAGTTGAAGCTGATCATTGTATTGGTGTAAATAAGTACACTTTATCTTTCAACAAAAATATGTACATGAGCAGTAATTTAAAGTTCATTAAAAAAAAATTCCTAGCAAATTCTAAAGGACAATGTAAAGCCCTCTCTATTTTAGTTTCTATCACAAAACAGACTGTATGTCATTTCTCTACATTTCGTCAAAATGAGATAAAATCTATGTGTTGATATCGTGATTTTTGATTATTGTTATCCCATATGAGTCCAACAGCTACAAGTAGGGCTGCCACAGTCTGGATTTGAATTTAGGATTCTTCAAAATCTGTAATGAGGAGATTATACATTTCAAAGGAGTAGGGCCATTATTCTTCAGAGTTTAGTATCTATGATTTTATCAGAAAGAAATCTGTTACAACAGAAATAGCACAGAGACTATCAATTTTGATAATTAAGTATAATTTAATTTGTAAAATGGTTATAATATAAATTTTATACATTTTGAATGCATTTTGAATCTACAAGTGGTTTCAAATCATTGCAAATAGCCTTAATTGATTTATAAAACAGTTTCAAAAACTGCAGCTCCTTTCACACATTTCTCGACCTCTTTCTCAAGAAGAGTCAATCAATCATTCAACATAATTGCATTTCAAAGCAAAAGTTGCAATAAAGCAAAACAACTTGACCTCCTTTAAGGCCATTCCAAGTTTTTTCTATGTTTAGCGTCCGCATGCGCCTTGGTTTTTGACACCCCATATAAGAAAAAACACACAACATCAGGAGTCCTGAAATTGATTAATTTAGTCAAAATTTTTGAATTTTGTCAATTTTTCCAAATAATTCTGTACAGTAAGTTATACTGGGTGTATTTTAAGCATTTAATCTCTCGTTTTTACTTAAGAATAGTTATTTCTTCTATTTAAAATGTATTTATCTTTTAAAATGCAATCTATATAAAATCTGTAGACAAGACTTTCTAAGAAATATTGGAATTTAAAATTTACATTATAATGATTTAAATGTTCTCTTTAAATATTTGTTAACTCATTTCCCTCGTCAATCTGCAAATTTTATTTACAAAGCCTATAATATAAGACAAAGAAAAATCACACGCATGTAATTATTGTATATCTATTGCTAAAAGTGACTTATAGGTCCGATGGGCCGGGTGTTCCACATATATGTTTAATTGTATATCGAATGTTAAAAATTACTGTATACACATGTCACTATAATAAAATATTTACTTACTTACTTACTTACTTACTTACTTAAGCAGTTTAGTTAGATCAAATCATATGAAGGACGTCATTTTTATGACTTTTAAGCCTGTGTTTTATGTTTTGGCTTGTGTGTTTTTTTGCGAATTGGTAGGTAGGTTTTTGAAAGATGGCTGGACGCTAAACAGAGAAAAAACTTGGAATGGCCTAAATTTGAAATATGAAGAGATAAAACTTACTTGAGGCATATACTGTTTATATTTCCATGCAGTGTTAAAAGAGCACTCTTCTGAAAAAAAATAGATAGGTACATACACAATTATAAAAACTTGATAATTTCCTAATGAAATATCTTTGATAATTGATAAAATCATTGCTGTTAAGTAAGATTCATATATTCTAAATATTCATTTCTTAAAACTAAGAATTTACAAAATAAAAATTTCCTTTGTAATAATGAAGATCTTTAGCATAATGCCAATTATTCATGCTTGTAATTTGGTGGTACATGTATTATGTCACAATGCAACTATATTTATCTACTTTTTTTATCCAATTTCATGGGCTTTTTATAACAGATTGAACAAAAAATGCAACATTTTTATTTTCAAATCTTTATATTCTTTTTTTTTAATGAAATACAAGTATTTACACAGGGATTTACTTTTAATTAATTTCAAAACTATTTTGTTTGGTTAAAATTCAAATAACAAATTTGAAAGCAAAATGACATGTACCTGCTACTTAGTTCATGTACTTACTTCGGCCTGTCCTTCTCTGAGGAACATAGGCCATTGATGACAGTCCTCCAACGAACTCGATTCAGAGCTGCTTTAGCTGCATCCTGCCATGTCATATCCTGTGTCTTTAACTCTGACTCCGAGACTGAGACACGCCTTCAGGTGTTTCTAGGATATCTTCTCTTCTACAATAATATTAAATTGTGTAAAATTGCACAATTTTGATTCATATGCATGCATCATGGATATTTTTTCTGGTATAACTACATGATTCAATATTAAAATCCCTTTTGTTTCCTTTTATTTCTTTTTTTCAATTTATTTTATTTCTCCTTATTTAATTGACTGAACATGAATTTGAAGATAATCATACCTTGTTTTATGCATGTAAAATATTTGCTATATTTATGTACAGCGTATTTTAAAATATATATAAATCTCACTCAATTTTAAAAATTAAAGTTTTGTGTAAATAGCTAGCAATATTCTTAATTATAATTTAAAGTATTCAAAATTGCAGTGATGATAAAAAATATTTTCATGGGGAAAAATACTTTTTCAAGGTGTCTTTATATCTTTCATATATTTGTTGGCATAACTGTATACAAACTATACTTGATGAAGTTATTGGTTCAAATGCTAATACATTATCAATAAATGATTTTGAAAATAATTTGAAAAAATATTTTGAGAACATAGTTTTTAAGGATATAATAAATATCAGAGAAAAGGGTAATGGCAAATTATCATTCTACAGCCAGTTAATAAGTCAAGGGAATCTAAACAAACTTGAAATTCAACCATACTTAAATTTTTCCATTTCCAAGAATCTTCGTTCTTTTTTGACTCGATTGAGAATAAGTGCTCACAAATTACAGATAGAGGTTGGCAGATATTGTAACCCAATTATACCAAGAGATGAAAGATTTTGTATTAATTGTAAAAATGTCGTTGAAGATGAACATCATTTTTTATTTGTATGTCCTCTATATAAACAACTAAGAAGTGAATTTTGTACACTTTTTAATAAAACCTGTATATCATATGAAATTCTTAATCCAGCAGATGTTAATTCTACAAGGAATATTTGTAACTTCATACGTGATGCATGTAATATAAGAAAATCTATGTGACTATATATTTTATATTTGTTTACTGTAATGACTCCGAGACTGAGACACGCCTTCAGGTGAAGATATCTTCTCTTCTACAATAATATTAAATTTGTAAAATTGCACAATTTTGATTATATTTATATTTTACAAAATATAATTTACAATTGAATAATGCATGTAAAATATTTGCTATATTTATGTACACATGTGGTTTTTGTCAAATTGAATAAATAAATAAAAATAAATAAAAATAAAAAACATATATTTCTTGAAGTTGACCCCTTTGTACATGTATATACTTGCAAGAGTTATCTGTATAAACAATGTCAATACTGAACTGTGAATGACTTGTAACTAGTGAAGTGCAGTGAAGGTGCAATGAATTAATAACACTTAATTTATATATATAATATACAAAATATGATTTATTCATACTATATTAATTATATTAATTCAAAATAATGTTCAATCTTGGATATTGTTAATTAGAACTCATCTTTTAACGATGTAATATATTTTTTCGATATCTCACCCCCCTTTGGCCGATTTCAAAGCTCTATAAAAAATTGAAATTTTGTTCCAGGCTTTCGAAAAAAAATTGCCTAGCATCCAAATCATCTCCACCTAATACCACAAAAATTACAGTGCTGAAATATGCCGCATATAGCCAGGGCAATGCAAAACATGACCGACCTCCAAAGTACAGGAAGCGTTTCCGTGGGCCACGTGGTTCTGACAACCTTGAGTAAATATGTAACTTACGTCATTAAAGTGTAAATCAGAGCTAAAATAATTGTTTATAGTTAAAAAACATTACCTTGGGGTCTCTTCTGCACACCTAGGTACACTTGTTACGACGCAGGTAAATTATACGCGGCGATTATATTCGCAGCATCGTCAGCTGCGGAGCTCGATTCAGCCATTGTTATTATGACGTCAGCCCCCAATGTTTGCCCCCAGTCCAAGATGGCGGATCCAATAACCTTGAAGGTTGTCTTTTAAACAGTACATGAAAGATAAACCATGTAAATTTGGAATTAAATTCTGGATGCTTGCGGATGCCACTCGTGCGTACTGTTGGAATTTTGATGTATATGTTGGAAAGTACGGAACTGAAATTAATCGTACATTTGGTCTCAGTGCCCATGTTGTGATTGACTTGCTTCGTGGGTTAAAAAACAAAGGACACTGTGTCTTTACTGAACTGTCAGACCTAATCGTCGTGGGTTTCCACAGGATCTTGTAAAATCAAAATCCGAAGCTCGAAAACTTCCTAGAGGCTATTAAGATTGGAGACAGTGTGATGACATGATTGCTACGTGTTGGAAGGATAAGAAAATGGTGTACTTATTGTCTACGTGTCATATACAAGAAAAGGAAAACTTGACCGTGAAGTGGTACAATAAAGACGGAAGTACAACCGAGTTCCCAGACGTACCATCAGGAGCAGCATATTCTAAATACACGGGTGCCGTGGATCGCAATGATCAAGTGACAAAGTTGAACAAATCTAAAAAGGCTATGCGTTGGTGTAGGAAAATTGAAAGGAAACGCCTGGAACTTTCCATATACAATGCTTATGTCCTTGAGGGAAGCGTCATTGAACATAATCGCCCTGGGAAAAGGAAGCGTGACCTTTTAAAGTTCAAATTGGATCTTGCACATGAACTTATTGGGCAGCGACGCATTCGCAAAAGGGTTGGAAGGTCTAGATCTGCAACATCGAATCAGCTTCTTAGACTGGATGGTCTAAATCACTTACCTGATGTTGGAGAAGGGAAAGATCATGTGTGTGTTGTGTGCAATGAAAGGCATTTGAAATTCAAAGAAAGAAATCCAGGTGTCTCCAACGCTGAAAATCCATTCAAAAGGTGTAAAACCACAATTAAATGTGAAAAATATCTTTGCTGCATCACTAAAAACATGTGTTTCAAAGAGTATCATTCCAAATTGTGTTATTAGTTCTACTGGTCAGAGACCAGAAGAGCTTATGCGATAGTAATGCGTCCGTCGTCCGTCCGTCTGTCTGTCTGTCCGTCTGTCTGTCTGTCTGTAAACAATTTTTCAAAATGCTACTCCTATTAGAGTTTTGGTCCGATTTCAGTATAACTTGGCACACAAGTAGACTACACTAAGAAACATAATTCTGTGCATCGGTTTTTGATTTCGAAGTATGGTGTTGCCATGGTTACTAAAAATAAAAATTTCAGTGAACTTCTTTCAAAATGCTACTCCTCTTACAATTTTGGTCCGATTTCAGTATAACTTGGCACACAAGTAGACTACACTAAGATACATAATTCTGTGCATCGGTTTTGGATTTCGATGTATGGTGTTGCCATGGTTACTAAAAATAGAAATTTCAGTGAACTTCTTTCAAAATGCTACTCCTCTTACAGTTTTGGTCCTATTTCAATATAACTTGGCACACAAGTAGACTACACTAAGATACATAATTCTTTGCATCGGTTTTTGATTTCGATGAACGGTGTTGCCATGGTTACTAAAAATAGAAATTTCTGTGAAATTTTATTTTACATACTACTCGTCCACCAGTTTTGTTCTGATTTCAATATAATGTGGCACACAAGTAGACTACACTAAGATACATAATTCTTTGCATCGGTTTTTGATTTTGATGAACAGTGTTGCCATGGTTGCTAAAAATAGAAATTTCTGTGAAATTCTTTCAAATGCTACTCCTCCTTTAGTTTTGGTCTGATTTTTAGCTCACCTGAGCCAAAGGCTCAAGTGAGCTTTTCTGATCACAATTTGTCCATTGTCTTTCGTTGTCGTCGTTGTCGGCGTTGTCGTTGTAAACTTTTCACATTTTCATCTTCTTCTCAAGAACCACTGGGCCAATTTCAACCAAACTTGCTACAGTGTATAAAGTATCCTTGGGTAAAGGGAATTCAAGTTTGTTCAAATGAAGGGCCACACCCTTTTCCAAGGGGAGATAATTATGAATGAGAGAAAAATTAATGCCATTTTAAAAAAAAATCTTCTTGTAAAGAACCACTGGGCCAGGAAAGATGAAACTCATGTGGAATCATCCTCAGGTAGTGTAGATTCAAGTTTGTTCAAATCATGACCCCCGGGGGTAGGGTGGGGCCAAAATGGCCGATCAAAGTTTTAAATAGGAATATATAGGAAAAATCTTTAAAAATCTTCTTCTCAAGAACCACTCGTCCAAGAAAGATGAAACTCATGTGGAATTATTCTCAGGTAGTGTAGATTCAAGTTTTTTCAAATCATGACCCCCGGGGGTAGGGTGGGGCCAAATGGCCAATAAAAGTTTTACATTTGAATATAAATGGAAACCTTTTAAAATTTTCATTTCAAGTACTTCAAAGCCATGCTTAGTAATATTTAAAGGGAATCATCCTCAGGTAGTGTAGATATTTAGTTTGTTCAAATCATGGCCCCCTGGGGGGTTAAAGTTCAAGCCCCCCCCCCCCCCCCCAGTAAACTTTCAGCTCTGATCTGATATGTACTTTTTCCAATTGCTCAGGTGAGCGATGTGGCCCCTGGGCCTCTTGTAATATAACTTGGCACACAAGTAGACTACACTAAGATACATAATTCTGTGCATCAATTTTTATTTTGTTGAGTGTCAAGGATCATTTTTCTATTGATTCCTTTTTGGAAGTCTCAAGTCACAACTGCTTCTTTTCTCTTCCTTTGTTTTAAGTATAAACCAGTAGAGCTACAGTCTCAACAGAGACTTCTGGTTAAATGTATGTTGAATGGACTTGGATTGATTGACAAGTTTATTGAATTGAAAAATTACCCAGTCTTACCTAAATTTATTAACTTATATTCATGTATCTATTTATTTATTTATTTATTTATTAATATGTTATGAATGAAATTGAATACATGTACCTTGTTGTGTTGATTTATTATGAATAAACACTTGTATTATCTATGTTTATTTTATTTCTCTTTTACAGCTATCTTTATACTGAATAAGATTTAACAGCTAGCGTACAATATCAAAAGGTACATTACCATGATTACCAATAATTTAACTGTATACTCACCTGTAATTGGTTGTAAGCAGGTATACTGTCAAGACTCAATCTGACATTTCATTTGTTTTCAAATCAGGTCATTATAATTGACTTTTGTTAATCATTTTTGAGTCCAATATTTTCTTTCGTGAAACTAACGGACAATAAAATCCAATCAAATAAAGGTATTTGGTTTTCACCTGGGAAATACAGGTAAATCAATTAACTTTCATGCACCTAAATTCATTCTAATCTTACATATATGCATCTGCCTTCCTTAAAATAATTAAATAAAATGGGAACGTAATGACAAAATCAGGTCATTTTGTAGATTTTTTTTAAAGGAATGAATTGTAAATGTTCATGACAATCTTATGTAGCTTGAGTATAGCTTGTAGCTTGAGTATAGGTATATTAATGTGTACCAGGTTTACCTGTGGTCACAAACTGGTAATTTACACCTGTTTACATACAAACTTTCTGTCCCTGTTGTTAAAATTGATTTCTGTACTCTGTTTTACACATGATTATTAAATCAGAAGTGAATAAAATAGTAGTTTTTATTCAAAATTAAAGAAAATCACAAATTTACCTGTTTCTCACCTGTGAAATACAGGTAAAAAATTACTTTTCAAAGCGAAAACCCCCACAACATTAAAATATAGTATTTTCCCTGTGTAAATATATATAGTTTTATATATCTTACTCTAAAAAGAAAAAAAGATATTGATATTTAGATATTTTTTGTTATTAGTTCACAACTTTTCCCAGATATTCAGTGTTCAGTGGTATTTTACAAAGAAATATATATAGGGATGAAAGAGTTAAAACTTAAAATTTTATTTGTTGATTTGTTATTACTCTTGCATTGAGCTATAAAAATGTTGTTTGGGCTACAATCTGTTAAAACAAATTAGTAATATGTTGAAACAAATTAGTTTAGTATTTTTGACAAAATTTAAAGTGCAAATCACAAATCTAAGTACAAGTCGGATTTTTGAAAATCATGTTCAATTGTCAGATGCATAATTATCTAAATCCATTTCAATGAGCAATGTTGCCGTGGTTTCTTATAACAAAGGAAGAGAAAAGAAGTAGTTCGGACTTGAAACTTTACAACAGCAATAAATACAATAATGGCCCTTGATAAAATCTCATTTTGTAGCAAAATTGCATCAAGACTGCAACTGAAGGAGTAGCTTTTAATAACATTTAACAGAATTTTTCATTTTAGTTATCATGGCAATATCATTCATCGAAACAAAGCAAAAAAAAAAAAAAAAACAATAACGACAATTATGTATCTCAGTGTAGTCAACCTGCATGCCACATTATATTATAATAATCAGACTCAAATTGTATTTGGAATAGCATTTTTAAAGTATTTTACAGAAATATCCAGTTGTTAGGGACAACGGCAACGCCGTTCATCGAATTCAAATCCTATACATAGAAGTATGTATCTTAGAGTATTCTACTTGAGTGTCAAGTTATACTGAAAACAAAAAAAAACAAAACTATAAGAGGAGTAGCATTTTGAAATTAAAAATATGGAGATAACGGACCGGACAGTATTCAAGATCAAAACCCCATAAAAATACAAAAAAGGAGCATAGCAAACACAGACCTCCAAAATATCGGGAGTGGAATCAGGTGCCATGAAGGACTGAGCATTCCCTGCTGAACTGTCATACCCGCCGTGTGCTCCTTGTCATGATCGGGAAATAACGGGAAAATCCGTCGTCAGTTCAGTGTATAAATAATGGACTGAAAAACGTCAGTCAGCATTTGACTCAATGATAAATTGATTTTGCTGACAAGGACATTGTATCCACCATAGAACTTACGAAATGCTGACCTTAAACGAGACTGCTGGACGTCTTGTTTTATCATCTTGTTTGACGATAAATTACCTCGTTTTAGAAATTGTTCTTACGTCGAGCATGCGTATCGT